TGCCCCCCTGCATCCTGCACCGCTCTGCATCCAGCCCCATGCGCCCCCTGCACCCACCGCTCCGCATCCAGCCCCATGTGCCCCCTGCCCCCCCAGCTCTGCATCCAGCGCCATGCGCCCCTGCACCCCCACCACTTCGCATCCAGCCCCATGCGCCCCCTGCACCCACCGCTCCGCATCCAGCCCCACGCCCAGAGGTGCATTAATGTGCCCTGGGGCGCTGGGCAAACACAAAACTGGAGGCCCCCCTAACCCCACTCCCAATCCAGCCCCTAGTTGAACCCATGTGCCTAGCACGGACTGGACTGGACTGGACTGGACATGGGCAGCCAGCCCCCGGGGGCTCTGGAAGACAGCCTTAGCGCAGCCCCGTGCGCCACGGGGAGCATTTTGCTGCATCCTCCCCCTCAATTTGGGGCTGTGCCCTTGGCGAATGCGGACATGCGCAGAGCCGGGGCTCCTCGGCACGGGAAACGCGTGGGTAAGGAGCTCTGTCCTATTGGGCACAGGTTCGCGCTGAAAACCGGGAGCTGGGAACACCCCAAAATAATAACTTTAATAATAATAATAATAATAATAATAATAATTATATAATAATAATAATAATAACCAAACAGTGTGGGAATGAGGACGCAGGCGCAGCAGCCCCTCCCGCCGGGCTCCGAGCCGCGCCCCGGAGTCATTTCCGATCTGCGTTTCCGGTGGTGCTGGGCCGGAAGTGCCTGTTTCCGGTGGCCGCAACAGAAGCCTTGCGGCTCTGCGCGGCCACGTGCGGCGCGTCTGCTCGCTGGCTCCCAACCTGGCCTTGCTCCCCGGGCCTCCGCAGGGGCCGAGGGAGACGGCTGCCGGCACGTCGGCCTGGGCTCCAGGTCCCCCAAAGAGGGACGAAGGCAGGGGCAGGAGGACAGCATGGGCTGGCTGTGCTGGTAGGATGAATGTGTCCCTTCCTTGCACAGCACGGGGCTTTGTTCAACCCTGCAAAACTCGGCAGCCTACTGAAACAGCAACTGGAAATCATGGCATCACTTCGGGAGGAAGCGGGGAAACTTCCTTGCCAGGAGGGTGGTGAAGCCCTGGAACAGGTAACCCAGAAAAAACATCACGTCGGTGCCCGGGTGCAGGGAGCAGCGCGAACAGCACTGACGAGCGCTACCCCTCTGCAACAGGGGCAACCCAGAGAGGTGGGGGGTCCGCATCCAGCCCCTGGGGTGGCTGGGATGATGTAGCTGGGGATGTTCCTGCTTTGAGCGGGGGTTGGACTAGATGTGAGGTTTTTTTTAAACCTATGGGTTGGGACCTAAAAGTAGGTTGCAAGAATCTGTGGGAGGGGAACGAACGGTTTTTAAAAAATTGATTCTGCTTTAAAGGACAGAAATGTGACAAACAGTACCCCCCCCCAAACTCGCACATATGCCCACCCCCTGCACCCCCACCCACCCTCACTCTCCTCCCCATGCAACCCTGCACCAACCCCCATCCTCCTGCCCTGCATGCTAGCAGGGTGGGCTGGGGCAGCAGGTTGGGAGTGAGGGGCACTGGGTGGGGACCAGCCATTGAGGTCACAAATACGTCCCGCTGCAAAAAGGGGTGAGAACCGCTACACGAGACGTGACCTGAAGTCCCTTCAGACCGTCATTTTCTAGGATTCTTTTGAATTTCAGGCAGAATCAGCAGCTGCTAGAGTGCTGCATGCTCTTGTTAATCAGAGTGGCTTGCTATGGAAAACGATTCTTTAAAGCTCATTTGTTCCTCTCTTGACACATGATGTTTGTTCTCACGATGGTCTTCCAAGTCCCAGTGGTGAAGGGGCTTTGACGACAGCTGCCAAATGGCCTTACTGATGTCAGGAATGGGACGGGAGCTGCGTCTCTTGCAGCTCCAAAAACCACCGTACAGCTCACTGCTGTAGCTATCCAGAGGCCCCTGTTGCGTAGGGGTAGTGCTCATCAGGGGTGTTTGTGTGTTACTGCATCCAGTTCCTGAGCACTGATATTATATTTTTTGTGTTTGTTTCTAGGCTATTGAGAGCACCTACATTGACAAAAAATGCACTTTCACTGGAAATGTGTCTAGTCGTGGTCACATCCTGTTAGGTAAGTGTTGGGCAGGCTGGAAAGGGGGGGCAAATTGTCCTTGCCAAAGGGGACAGTCTGCCCCCCCCCCGCCCCCC